TACCGTCGAAGAAATCGGCTGCCTGCTGTCAGCGATATCGTCTCATCATGTGTTGAGGAGCAGAAGTCCGTCGCATTGCATCATACCTGTATAGCCTGGATACAACTCCATTGGCTCGAAGCCATCATGCTTCTCCAGCACAGTGCTAGTCCACTCCCAAACACCACCAAGGTCAGATTGGCCGCAGAGCTTGTTGCCCTTCTCGACCACTGAAACTGGATGCCAGTGTTTGAAGCCCACGTTCGTTCCTTCAAGGTCAATGAAAAGATTGCGGGGGTTGAGACTAGATGCTGCGCCAGAGTCGCCGTTTGACAAAGCTTGGGATGGCGGCGTCTCAAAAACGCCTTCGTTGATCAAATGGCTGCAGACCGTTAGTCAAGAGTCTACGAAGATGAGTGACGTGCATCGTACCCATTCACTGCTGGAATCGTGTTTCCAAGCGAGCTCTCGAACTCGGGCTTCATGCTGTCGACATAGCTGTAGATGCTTCGTGCTTCTTCTATGGTAGGGATGCGACCGCCCATCCAATGCGCACAGCCAGCTAATTCGTCGTAGGAGGCAACCACAGGCCAGCCCATGACGAATTTCAAGGGAACAGTGCCGTAAACAGTACGTACAAACTTCCCTTCGGTATTGCTCTGAGATGAGCCATTAACACCTTCATGGTGGCCGTTTACAACGCTGTCTCTCTTGCCAGTGCTCAGGTCCTTGGCATTTGAGTATGGCTGTTCGCACCACGATGCAGGTATGGCTGCATTCGACAAGTTAGCAGACGAGCTTAGACTTTTGATCAAGACATGCGGCCGCTCTCGCTGCAGTGATTACATACATGTCTTTCCTGTTTCGGATAGATATGTGGCATACTCCCCGTTTGTGATTGGCCGAGCCTTTGCGCGGAAGGACTCGACATGTGCTGAACGGTGAGGTCTCTCGTTATCCCAGCCAAAGTACCGCTTGGTCTCAAAGTCATTCTCGGGGTCTTCGAGGCCGATGTCGATGTCCGCTTCGGGTATGGTGAACCACTCGTTGGCGGTTGCTAGAGTCTCGGATTGCGCTGCAAATGCCGAAAAGTCTGGGATTTTGGTTCCTGGAGGTGGTAATACTTTGTCGCTCTGAATCAGCATATAGAGTAATGTCTCTAGGTGCATGGCTTCATGTTCAAAGCCGATCCACAGTGCTCGCGACACGCGACCATTCGACTCTGCTTCTCCCGAAGTGTACAGCGCTTCAACCTTTTGTCGCACAGTCTCTTGAAATCTCAGGATCGTGTCCAGTGGGGGCCACTCTTCGGGAACCTCGGAGTGAGCGTGACACTGAGTTGGGTCTTCAACATCAGGGTCAACACCACGTTCAAAGATCTTCCAGAAGTAGGTAGGGTCCGACGACTTGCCATCAGTGGCACGGGCGATGTGAATGTCCAAGAATGTAGGAATATGGCCAAGGTAGAATATGCACTCGTTGCGAAGCTTGATGGGCTTAGATAGTAGCTCTTCCTCAGATATCATGTCCTTGGTGACCGCATCCCAGGCCGTCCAAAGCTCACGCCACTCGACCAAAGATGGCACCGGCTTCGCTGCGTATTCCTCGGGTTTGGTAGGGAAGAACACTGCAGGCTTGGAGACGAAATGCAGGCCGTAGTCGCCCTTCGAGTTTGCCCACACAACGTTCTCTGCGAGTTTGGCCAACTCCCAAAGCTCCTTTGCTTCCTCGCGGCTATACTTGTAGGATTCTTCGATGCGAACTCTCTCGCCCTGCTTGATACTGACACCGTCGACAACAGTATCCTTGCGTGGTGCGACAAAAGCGTGATGTCTTCCAGCATGTTCGTCGTACTCTCCGATGGCTTCCCAGTCCTGGATATCGAAAGCTTCTTCGCCCATGAGTGCGTTTGCGTGCTTCAGCCCGTTGAGGATGAACTTGTGTGTTACACCGCTACGATCGTTGTATGCATGGTAAACACGCTAGGATAGAAATCAGCTCAGTGGATGCTTGCAGGCCTGTGGGTGCGATAGGTTTACCTCGGGATCCTTGCATGAATCGATACCGATGAGCATAGTATCACCAGTCTGGAGAACCGCACCAAATCCAGCAAGGAATTGCGGTACTTCATGGCGCTTGAAGTTGCCCAAGCTAGAGCCCAGCCAAAGGATCGTTTTCGGTTTCGCTTCGACTTCGGGAGTCTTCAGCCACTCAAGGGCATCATCGTAGGTGCCATATAGGCCAAAGCATTTGACGTGCTTGTACCCTTCTGCGTGCTTGATTAGCGAAGCTCGGGCGGTCGGATCGCCCCGTATTGCGCAATGATAAGGAGATAAGTGTCTGGGCCACCAATGTGTTGAGGTGCATGTATGCAGGTTCATGTAGGTCTAAGCCACATTGACAGGAAAGTGATGCAAACGTGCCGCACTATACAAATTACACTACCCCCCTCAATGTCGAGCATGATAGAATGAACACTCACCTGTAGGTATTTCCCCAAATGTTCTCTCCAGCTCCGGCAGGGAAAGATCGACTGCGTAATACTCGACGTCTTTGCCAAGACGGTCGACGGCTTGCAAGAGGATGTTTACTTTCCTGAGGTTGCTGCAAATACATTAGTATTCACGAAGCACAGGGCTCGTTTCCAATCTCTTGCGAAGTGCGAGCAGGACCGTACCCGCTCCCCAGTTCCACGACAATGGATCCCGTCGGGATTCGTTCGGCGATTTTCTCCGCATACGTCTCAAGGACTTCAATCTCAGCATTTGTTAGGTAATACCTAGCATTGCAAACATTCATTAGCTTGGTGTTTATGTAAACCAAACGTGAAGCTGCTCACTCGTCCTGGTACGTGATCTCTTCGAATAAACGAAGGCCTTCCTGGCTGAAAGAAGAAACAAAAGGTTAGCGTGCATCATGGGCTGACCCAATCGTTGCTTACTCATAAAGCAGCAACGTAGGCAGCTTCTTTTCGCCGCCATCCAGAGGCCGAAGGCCCTTCTTGATATCAGCGAGGATATCCGACTCGGCCGTGTCCGTGCGTATGTCGATTATTTTGGTCGCCATCTCTCTGGAATGTTTGAAATTGGATACTGTAGTCAATCGGTATGCCCCTCAAGAGCCGGTCTACTAGATGCGTCTTATGCCGAGGGTCGCGCGATACTTATACAGCGCGTAAAAGTACGTAATGTGGGTACTCGGACGCTTATGCCGTGCGGTAGCTGACGGTGACTAGAGGGCCGGTAACTGTTCAAACGGAATAGTGTAGAATGCATTACTTCGTCAGAATCTGTACTGCCTGGCTAGCGGCTGTGGTGGTAATATCACTCGCAAACACGCGACAAATCAGACGCGGTTCCTTCTCACGGTCAACGGCGGCGCGAGAAAAACGCCTGTTCGAGTCGAGCACATCATCGGTAACAACCCCGCCGACAATCTACTCTGGTACCAATGCCATCCGGAAGCATGGCAGATGGGACGTCAAGCATTGTTACGAGTCCATAATGATGACGTCAATGTGTGCCGGCTAGGGAAAGGACGGAAGTCCGGGAGCAAGGCAAAGAAGGAAGGTCTCGAAAACCGACACCAGACCACAGCGTCCAGGAACACGCTGCAGAGCAGGCTGATGCTGTTCCTCGGTCGCAAACTCTCGCCGGCCGTGACATATTCGTGGATGACCACGCTGCCTGTTGCGGGGTCGATGCCTTACTGCATAAGCGATGCCGTCACAGTGGAGTCGCGAACTTGTTGACACATTACTGTGCGCTCAATCATGGCTGGGCATGGCAACTTGATCGGCAAGGTGAGCGACTTGCTAGACGCGGTTGGCATTGGCGTAGACGGCATGGAGCATGTCAGGTACAAGTGTGTTAACGAGCAGAAGCATGTGGGCAGCAACCGTAACGACCGGCTGGGCAGACCTCGGGACTCTGATGCAGAATCATCACGTGATCGGCTGTGAGCCTTCAAAGGTTAGCTCCAGTCGATGCACACCTGGGCAATAAGGCCCCAAGTTTACGATGACGCGAGGTGCAACACCAGCGCGGAACAACAGCGTGCGGAAAAGTCCGCGCGTCAGAAAACAATCATCAGACTTATACACATTCACCATCCGTGTCAGCTATCCATGCATCGTCCGCTGGACGTCGTGCTGAAAAGCCACGAACCGCACGTCATGCAACAACAACCTTGGTCGCCCGCATACCCGCTGTGACATGACACGCATGCAGGTGCTCTCACTCGCGCGCTATCCCTCTTTGAGATCACTCGCACTCCCTTTCAATATCATCTCAGCACTCATACCACGAAACGATCGCAGTGCATTTGGTGGCCGACTCTGAGTCGTTCTGCGCAAAAGGGCCAATGCTGGTTTTCTCGGCGCTTTCGTCTCGCTCCTTACTCACCAGTTTGCCAATATCCAAAGTTTCTTTCAAGATGAGGGCTGCCGAGGAATTCAAGCAAACGCAGCTCGTATGAGACTCCCCTTTTATGCGTGCATGTCGGCTGTCACATCATTTCACTGATGTTGCGTCGCCTCGAATGACGCTACGCACCAAGCACAGAAGCACATCGTGGCTTCCCCCCTTGCATAGGGCATCACAATACCACGGCCGAACAAACGAACGGCATCCGCTAGAGCCGTACCTGATTCCATCATTACCGCCTAACTCCGCATGCCTTTTGAAACGTCGGAAGTACTGAACCCAATTCACGCGAATGCTTACGGAGTCTCAATGCGTCTGACACGGTCACCAGACGCAGGGTGAAGACGTTTTCAACAAAGACGGCAAAGCAGCAATCGTGCACACCTTTGCACCCCGCATGAATGTCGTGCTTCATGGGTCTGGCGGCCTGAGCGACTCGAGCACCCCATGATAGGAGAGTCCAGCACAGAGCCTAGCTGCGGCAAGCCTCCCGACACCTCTTGGTGGCCCTTCCAAGATTACAATTGTCTCCGGGCACATGGCTTTGTCGCAGTCTGATTACAACTCTCATTGCTCTGTGATGGCTACGAGATGGGTGACTGGCCGCCAACCGCGCTGACACTCGAGTCGGGCGTTACGCCACTGCTCTTCCCGAGCCTTGCTTGCACTTGTTGTTCCCGTCATTCGCGACAGCGTTCATATTGTATGGAACATGCACTCGCTAAAGGTGATTAGTCTCTATTGAACATAGACGCTGCGGTCTGCTGAGTTCGCCCGCGATCAAATAAGTCTTTCAATCAGACGAAGTGGAAGCACTGCATCTGCAACATCCCGATTTCATGTGCCGGACATCAGCTGTGGCTCAACCTATTACTCACTGGTCTTGCAAAAAAGCGATTACTGTACCATCCGCAACATGGGCCCCTCTCAGCTGCGGGTCACCCCCGTTACCAACAGTTCCTTCCCTACGAACGAGTGTCCTACTTGGAATGCCGATCTCTCAACACTGCAGTCCGAGAAGGAAATCCTGGAGGATGGACTCGCCAATCGTGTTACCTATTTGCAGGTTCTACGTAAGAAGCAAGCTCGAACAGAACGCCGGCTGGTCACGGATCCCTCACTACCACGGAAGAAGAGGAAGAGGTTTCAACAGGTCAAACGTAAATTGGAGAATGAGATAAAGCACCGAGAGCAGGATGAGCAAGCTTTTCTCAACAACCTCCAGGCTTGCAAAGCAAACATTTACATCGCCGAGACCGTCTCTCTGCCATCTACAGCCACATCCTCAACGTTATCAGACTTTGCCTCAATCTCGACAGGATGCTCGTATCCAAGAGCCTTGGAATCGGCGCCTACAGAAACGAGTTGGAACGGTTGGATGAATGAGTCGGCTCTCTCTCAATCCCAGAGAGAAAGTACCAACCCTTTTTTCACCTTAGATGTCGCACCAGGCGAGCACCTGGAAGCCATAAGTATCGACGGAATGATGTCGAATGACTACAAGCAGCCACGCGATGCGCAGCATACCCGAAAGATCGACCCTATACAATGTGCATCGTCCAACACGCCGATGCATTTCCTGCTGAGCCCCGAGGCTCCGATATTCCACCCTCAGTCCACGTATACGAACCAGGAAGGGAGTCTAGCTATACGACTAGCCGAAGTCAATCTTCCTTCGACGATGGCAGCCACAACGTCAAGTCTGGTGGTGTTGGAGCTTCTGCACAGATGCCTTGTCAGTCATGCAAGCATGGGCCAAGCACGATGGCAAAGTTCACTTGGGGATATAGATGATGGCTTGTGTGGCCTGTATTTAGCCAAGTCCAGCACGGGCGCAACTGCCCCGGGTGGCAAGCTCGAGTACAGAAGAAGCTCTCTATAATGAGACCACGCTGGCATGTCAGGCAGGTTCCATAACACCCCACGGTACATAATATTATTGGCAGGGTCCCACACTCATTGGTGCGGTCAGCGGTGTATATAATTGGATCCACACATTTCCATCACGCTCGATCGCTTCCGATGGCGCCTTTCTTCAACTCGGCAGCAGGCACAATTGGCGAATGCGGATCCATCGGAGCAAAAGCTGTTCAGAGAATATGCAAGACAGGACATTTGAGCGGGAGAGAACGAGGTAGCTACAGCCTGTTGATGTTTACCATGTGAAATACAAGAATTGGTTGCTTGCGTTTGTCATTTGGCCTCGGCCCATCGCTGCCCTATTTGGTGAAGCGGGCTGCCCCACACTGTGCCGTCATCACAGCGCACCCGTGTTTGCGCGACTTGCAGACAACCGAACCACCTCTCCCCTCAGATCCACGTTCAACATCTGCACGCTAGCTAGAGTTCAACACTCTACGCCCGTCCGTCGGCCTAAAGAAGAGAAGCGTGAGTTCCTGGTGTCCAAGAAAGACGGAACCTAGAGCCGTGCTGTGTGGCTCCAACGAGTGCCTCCACTCCATCCCGGCAGTTCATACAGCAGACCACTGCGCAGTGCTTGCATAGCGTCGCGGCAAGCTCGCGCCGCAGCCGTCCCAGCAATATCAACCGGCGAACCCCTCACCTGGCGGGGGCCGCAAGAATCGATACCTTTTCCATTGCTTCGTCTCATCCAACATGGCTGATGTTAGCAATGGGTCCAACGCCGACGATGGCCAGCTACGCGAGCGGCCGTCGGCTAAGCCACTGCATCTCAACAACGCAGACGATGCTAAGCAAAAGGTTTTGGAGCTGAACGACCAAGAAGACAAGAATCACAAAGATGACAGCAAGAAACGAACCTATGGAAGAACTCCAGACGGTACAGGTATGCCGCCCCTCGTGCTGCACCGAAACGAAAGCAATTACTATGCATGCATAGCGTGTCCACCCGTACCACGAACTACTCATACTAACACTACACGTCTAGTCTTCATCGTTCCACAGACTCACGACATGGTCTCGCAGCTGCTCTCGCCCTCGCAACCCAAGAACTTGTCCGATATAGCAGTCCTCGCCGTGCTTGCTGCCCTGATCCTGACCTTCATCGTACTGCCCAAAAGCGCCCGCATACCCATATTCGCAATCATCTTCCTCTTCTGGCGCGCCGGTTACAATGCCGGTATCGGCTGGTTACTCGATGGCCAGTCTAAACACAACCGTCTCGTCCTCTGGGCGAAACAAAGCCATGTCTTCGAGAAGCCTGAATCTGGCAAGAATCCACACCCCGCCCTGTATAAGCTCCTCAAGCGGGAACTAGAGACCAAGATTCCCAACGATTATAACTTCGACGAAGCGCCGCTTGAGTACAACACGTGGCTCGTGTTTAGGCGTGTAGTAGACCTTATACTCATGTGTGACTTCGTTTCATACTGCCTGTTCGCCCTCGCCTGCTTCAACCGTCCCCAAGAAAGCTTTCTCTTGTGGATCCTGCGCTGGACAACTGGTGTTGTTCTATTTCTTTTCAACCTGTGGGTCAAGCTAGACGCCCACAGAGTTGTCAAGGACTTCGCTTGGTTGGGAACCCCTCCTTGGCTCTGAAAGATAGACGTCTGACATGCGAGACAGGTATTGGGGCGATTTCTTCTACCTCATTGATCAAAGCCTGACCTTCGATGGCGTCTTTGAGATGGCACCGCAGTAAGAGGTTCCATGGCACCTTCAGCTGAAAAAGACGCTAACTCGCCGGTTCACCAGTCCCATGTATTCAATAGGCTATGCTGGATACTATGGTATTGCCCTCATGATGGCAAGCTACAAAGTCCTAGCAATCTCGATTATCGCCCATGCAGCCCAATTTGCCTTCCTTTCCATAGTTGAGGAGCCTCACATAAACCGCTTGTACAATCCGCCGCCTCCCCGCCGTACGCGCCACAATTCTGGAGATCTCCAGCTCGAAGACCGGCCTAAAACTAGCCAGTCTGATCTCGCCTTCTCTGATACCGCCTACGATCCCACCAAGCACCAACCAGCCCAAACGCACCATATTGTAGGGCCTCTGAACACGGATTTTCATCGATCCATTGATCTCACGGTAGTATTGCTTTCGTTCTACATGATGTGCTTGGCGACGCTAACACCCAACACTTGGTTGGTACGAACGTTTCTCTTCATCAACGCCTTCGGGTGGCGGCTCTGGTACGCGTTAGGACTAGGCTACATTCTAGATCGACAGTCAAAGAAGAAGAACTGGACCAAACATTTCATCAAGTACGGCGACACGAAGGAGGAAGCCTGGCGCCAATGGAAATCACTATACCATATGAGCATGACCATGAGCCACGCCTCGTTTCTTGCTGTAGCGTGGAAAATGTACAGTCTGCCTGCTGATGGTCTTAATGGCCTCACGCTTTTCCGACATGTCCTTGGCTCGGGTATGATTGTACTTCAGCTCTGGGTTGCCATGAGCATCTACGAGTCTCTGGGGGAGTTTGGATGGGTAAGTCTTGGACATTTGAAGTGAATGTAGGATTTACGCTAACGCTGCATCTTCATCTCTGCAGTTTTGTGGCGACTTCTTCTTCGATCCGCCTTCAAGGTCACTCACTTACTCCGGTATTTATCGTTTTCTGAACAACCCCGATCGTGTTCTGGGATTAGCTGGTGTCTGGGGCGTAGCTCTCATTACTTGGAACCCCGCGATCTTCTATCTTGCTACGACCGCCCATGTCCTCAACCTCGCGTTCCTCCAGTTTGTCGAGAAGCCTCATGTCATTAAGGTAGGTCCAGCGTTCCTTTAGTCAAGGTTCTTTGCGATGCACAATGCGTTGCCTTGACCAGGACTTTACTGACAGTGTATCGTTAGTTGTATGGGCGAAACCTACGTGAGATGTCGGGAGTCAGTAAAACCGTACGCCAAGCACTACCAGATCCAGTACGCCAATGGCAGTCGGCAGCCGACGAGTATCTCAACTCTACTATGGAATTTATCGAAGAGTTTCTGGATAACGTAAGACGCAAAGTGGCTGCCCATGTCGATGCCTTGATCAAGGATACAACAAGCCGATTCAAATCTTACCCAACGCGCATTCCCGTCAGCGGCCGTTCGTCGGAACCCGTAGGTCTGGATGCGAAGCAATACAGGCTCGAGGTTGAGGGTACCCTCTCCCCACCGATAGTAGAGCAGCAAAAGAGCGGTGGTCGCGAAGGAGAGTTGGCAAGAACACCAGCTGTTCGTACCAATGGTTTCAAAACACTCATCCTCGAGTACGGTGCACCCATCAGGGTTCGCTGGCAAGCACCTATCAACCACAGCAAGAAAGACTGGATCGGCCTGTACATGGTTGCTGACAACCAATCTCGAGAAGTTACACGCATCAGTTCCAATGGGCGATGGGTAGCCACCAACCCCGATGTCTTTGACTCTACGAGAGCTGATGACGGCATCTTGGTTTCGGACAAGCTCGTACCAGCCGATAGCACGGATGAAGAATCATCCGATTGCTACACTGGCGAGGTCGAGTTTCGTGGAGACAAGCTCTGGTGGACTACTGGTGTATTCGAATTCCGGTACCACCACGGTGGTCGACATCACGTCATGGCGCTTTCACAAGCTTTCGAGATCCGAATCCCAAGGTTTGACGAGAATGACGTTGAAGCGGATGCCAACGGTACGATCCAGCGCGCGGTGGAGGAGACGCTGCTTGCGGTCATCCAGAACTGCTTTGATCGCGACCCCGAAATCGCGCCATCTACCTCGGAAGAAACTTTTGGCAGTCTAGTTGAACGAGATGGCAAATTTGCGCGACGTGTTGTCTTCGCAGTCCACCAAATGTAAGTTCTCTCCCTTGGTGCGTTGTTGCATGGATTTTGTGACTGACGATGTCCAGGTTTGGTATCGAGTTCGCTCCTGAGGTGGTACAAGCCGATGGCACGGTCAAGAATTTGGCCTGGAGGATTCTTAATGCCAAGAAAGTCTTGGTGAGCCATTCACGAGCTACAGCATGAAGATTGGGTCACTAACGGCGTATTGGCAGGCCCCTTACAGTATGTCGTCCGCTACGCATGGTAGGAACACCCCGACCATGGGTTGAGGGAAGCTTGTACGGCATACCCGCGATTGGTTCATGGAGACGATAGCTGAAGCTGGGCATTGTCTTGATAGAGAGGACTTGTAGAACATGGGCTGTCCACCTTGGCACTGAACAAGGGTAGGATGCCATGTACGTCTTGCGATTACAGATGTGGCGCAAGCAGAAGACACGCGATGTACAGTGTAGCGTAGTAGGTGTACATGAGCATAAAAAGAATCGAATGATTTTGAGTAAACGTTACTGGATTAGCGTCATGTGATTTGAGCTACACCTGCAACAGGACGCCTTGTCCATATATGAGAGACTCTGCGACAGCATGCAGTGCTTAGTCAAATATGGTTGTGTGTATCACGGTACTCGTTGCCCGGTTTGGGCTTGCTGTTCCCTCGCGCCCCCATCGACATGGACTTTAGTGCTGAAACGTGACGACAAACGCATGGTAGAGCGTGCGATGACGGCAAGATTGCGAGCGGGATGCGGAGGTCACGTTATCAGATGGCGATGGCGAGGGCGAGGGCGTCACGATGGACGTGATTCGCGCCGGCTAGTTTAACCTCGGTCTGGCCCGTGAGAGCATCTTCTGGAAGCTATCACGCCTCCTCCGCCGACCATGTCGCCGTCGCATTGACGCTTCTATCTACAGGACAGTCTAGCTTGCGAGTGCGACATACTGGTGTACTTGTTTACGTGAAACACGTTGGGGTGCTGTCTCTTTGTTCTGCACCGTCCATCTGGTACCCTCTCATCCTTCGGGAGTCCGCACCAGCGACACTGCCCAGCGGGTCCGCACGTCACCACGCGACATCGCGCCTTCCTCGCTCACACGCTCAACCCATCTCGCCAGCAACTCGTCGTCAGCACCTCATGATGGGCAAAGGCTCTTCCAAGACCAGCACCAAGGTGCTCCCGCTCATTCCGCTCGCGCCACCGCTCGCCGTCCTCCCTGGCACAACACTCAAGATCCCCATCACCAACCGCTCCGATGTCGCTGCCATCCTCGCCAAGATATACAGCATTAGCCCTACCGCGAAGCCCGACGCGGCGATCACGGTAGCCTGCGTGCCGCTGAAGTCGAACACGCTGGGTCCGGACGGACAGCTGCTGATCGACGATGGCCATCAGGGGGACAAGACGGTGTTCGAGAGCGATCCCATGCAGGCGACTAAGAAAGAC